CTCGTTGAATATTTTAAATCCTGATACAACAGAAGGTAATTCTTTTTTCTTAATACTCCCACCTCAATAGATTTGTGTATGACAGTTTTTAGTATTATTTTATAGATAATAAGACTGCACCAGTTACATTGGGGAAGATAACAGGAAAGCTAACAACTGGAATAACTTTGGATCAAACTTTTTTTAAAGATGAAAAAAAAAGCAGAAACATACCGGGTAGTTATCTTTGTTAGTTATTAGATTATATTTTATTTTTATTTTATTTATTAATAGTTTCTTCATTATTATATAAATTTACAATAAAAAGGTAAATTAAACTAGAATACTAAAAGGGGGTGATACTTAATTAAAAGTGTGTTCCTTATTCCTTTATTATTTTTGCGCTTCTTTAAAAGCAAATCCTTATCTTTCAGTCGATTAGCTTCAGTTGCAATTTTGTTAGTGGCTTGATTCGCCAACACGCTACTCTTGAAATTAGGAAGAGCTTTCCTTCTGTTAACTCTCAAAGATTTATTAATGTTAACTCAGCTAAAATTATTAGTTAAAGATGGTGGTGCTAAATTAACACATCTTCCATGCTTGCATTCTAATAGCTATATGATTCTCTTGATCTAATGATAACAGATTCTATTTTTTTTAGGATCAGTCTTGTGTGTACCCTGTATTATATATTGAATATCTATTTTATAATATATATTAATATATTTAATTGACACTGTCCTCTGAAACATTAGCAACCAAATAAAAAAAACTGTTTTTCTACTTTGATTACTAATTGCAGTAATTTTTTTTTTTAAATACACTTTAAATTGAAAAAATAAATAATAATGGATATAAGAAAAAATATTTGTATATATTAAGACTACTTAAAAATGAATAAATGTATTTTTTTGCTTAAATTTGTATTTTAATGCAAAAATGTGGTCTTCTAAAAAAATACTAAAATCAATAGTTAATGGCAAATTCTTTATTTTTTAGGATCATGGAACATCTTTTTGACATTCTTGACTCTATGAATTTGTTAATTTTTTCTTGTGTAATCTCATTCCACGTGGTTTTAATAGCTTTATATAGCTCATCAGCATTTTTGAATGGTTCATTGTGTTTTAGGGAAAGTTTAACTTGGTACCATAAATTTTCAATTGGGTTGAGATCAGGTAATTAGGCTGGTCGTTTCATTACTTTAATTTGATTTGTTTCAAGCCATTCTTTAATGAGTTTAGAGATGTGTTTGGGGTCATAGTCTTGTTAAAATATCCATGAAAGAGTCATATTATTATCAGCATGAGGAACCACCTTTTCCTTGAAAATATCATGATAAATATATTAATCCATAATGCCATTTATTATTTAAATAGGTCCAACTCCACTAAAACCAGAAAAACAACCCCAAACCATTGCCCCTTTTCCATCACTATGCTTGATTGTTCCTCTTGTTTATTTAGGATCTAAGTGTTTATCTTTAGGTTTATGTACCTTTTAATTGCCATCAGGACTTTTCAAATTGTACTTTGATTTATCGCTCCACAATACTCTATTCCAATCATTTGTAGTCCAGTCTCTATGAGCATTTGCAAATTCAATTCTAGCTTTTTGATTCTTCTGAGAAATGAAAGGTTTTTTTGCTGCTCTAAAGCTCAAAAGTCCTGAAAGTTGTAACCATCTACAAACTGTATTTTGAGACATGACATGGTTTAGTTTTTTAATGATAACATTAGCAATTCAAAAGAATTCTTTTTAACATCAAGAATTATTTTTCTGTTGGTGAAATGACATGTTTTGCGTGGTCTTCCTCCTTTATGTTCTGTTTCTAAAGGACTGCCTTTAATAAGTCATTTGATCATTCAACATAATCAAACAACTTATTAAAGGTTTGACTTTACACAATTGATTTGTTAATGGAGTATTTTGTTGCAATTTCTTTTTGTTTGAGACCTTTCTTATAATCTTTTACAATACGTTCTCGAAAAGCTAAATTATACTTGTTTCTTGCCATTATAAATTCCAAAACAGCATAAATACGCGATCTCTAATTAATATTGTAATGATTGCAATACTCCATTTTCCTCTCAGGACTAAAATTAACAGTAAGTCGATTCTCATTGGGTAAGTATTAATGATTACAACACTACAACTCCCTTTGGCATTATTTCCATACAAAGGAAATCTTGTGCGGATGATTTTTCATGAGTTTTTTAGAGTAGTTATAAAAAAGTTGTTAATGTTTTGGAAGTAATATTTTTTCATTTAAATGTATAGAATAATAAGCAAAAAAAATCCTTTATTTTCAAATAGTCTTGCTAATGTTTTGGAAGACAATGTATATAATTGATATTTTGAAAAATGCGGTAGTGGTGTAGTGGTAGAGCGCTCGCCTCAAAATATATATATATATACATTTAAAATATATATATATATATTTTTATATTGTTGTATTTATTATTTATTATAGTTGTTTTCATTTACTACAACTATATAATAAAATTGTGAAGCTATTATAATTAAGCTATATAAGCTATAAAGCTATATAAATATGTGAAGCTATAAAATAATAACTTATACAGTTTATTTAATTTTATTGAATTTTTATTTATTGAATTATTAAGAATTATTGAAACATTAAAAATACAGTAAAAGGTTTGAATCGAAATAAGTAGAATAACAATGAATTGACAAAGAAATTTCTTCAAAGTTAAATTTATTGCTAAAAGTTTATTGCTTCCAATTTTTCATAGATTCTTTCAATTTTTTAAATCTCTAATTTTTTTAGACTGATTTTATTCTTATTTTTATCTTTTGCAGTCATGATTTTTTAGTTACGGTATATACAACAATGTTTTTTCTAACTAGTATTTTATACTGTATTTAGAAAAGTGTATTTTTTAAGTTTTTAGTAAATTTGATATACTTATTTTGTATTGGCTCTTCATTAATAAGTTCATAATAACTTTTTAAATGGCTCTTTTAAAAAGTTCCAGATATCTTAAGTTTGGATTTGCTCCATAGGGTAAGGCGGGGCGAGTTCATCATGTTTTACTTTAACAAAACGAATTTGTGTATAAATGAGTTAACTTTTCTAGTTTAAAATTTTTTTTTTATTAATTAGGGTCTCTAATTTTTTAATGCATTGAATCAAAATAAATTCTAAAGTTACTTTAGCGTATAATTTGATTTTTTTTTCATCAAGTCATGAGGGGCAATTTTGTCAATTACGGGGCGAATTCGTCAGTACAGCTAAACTAATTGAAAAATGCGTCATGCGGGCGATAGACGAAATTCCTTTCTAGTGGTAAAGGCAGCTTACCTAGGAGAAAAAAAAAACTTTGACATAAAAAAACATTTGCACATTTATCAACTCCAAAACATCCTTCGCATGCCCACTGATTGTAACTTAAACATTTAAGCCAATCTTCACTTGCTTCTGCCCAAACAGCTGCACAAACACAACAAAAGTCTTTATCAGTGTTATTATTTAGAATAAAACTTGAAGAACTTGGGTGATCAGAATCAGCTGAAAAAAAGCCTTCTTCAATTTGTTTTTAACTGATTTATTGCGATCCCTTTTTGACTTCTGTTTAACACTGACCACATTTTTTATTGCAGTCTTTTTAGCATGAGGCTCTTTTATTAACTTAACTTTATCTGGTGATGTAATAAGAGTAATGTGGCATTTTGAATGAGTAGGTTTGTTTTTTTTTCAGGAGAAGGTACAATAGTTCTTAAAATAGATAAATTTGGGTCTCCCTGGTGAATTGTTGCCACGTTCACCAATAGTTAACTTTTGTACCTCATGAGAACCCTTTAATGCTATTACCTTAGCAGAGACATTAAAAACATATATATATATATATATATATATATATATATATATATATATATATATATATATATATATATATATATATATATATATATATATATATATATATATATATATATATATATATATATAAATGCTTTATATTTTCCAATAAATGATACATTTGTTTAAAATAAATACTACAAAAAATACTTATAACAAATATTTTATACTAAACTTTACACACATTTTATACTATATACTTACTATTTACTTTTTACAATATCTAATATTTATAGTAAAAAGTATAATATATATTTTTTAAAATAGAATAAGATCTTTGCTATATAATATATAGTAAAAATATTATTTTACTGTAAAAATAGTAAATAATATTAAGTATTCTCATAATATTTATTAAAATTTCAATAGTTTTTTAACAATATTTAATATTTATACATATCTTAAATATGTATAAAAATACATTTCAGACTATACATTAATATATTTCACATCAAAGTCGTGTTTATAATTAAAACTTCAAAAAGTTTTAAAAGCTAACTGTAAATTAATATATTCTGAAGAGCCTGTTTCTTATAAGTAAATTCTAAAGCTTTGGAGTGCACAATTTGTTTTTCTTTCAAACGGCACTCGGTAGTTTAAAAATTAGCGTGATGAAACAACCTAATTTATTTTGAGTATTAACTTTTCTTTAACGACAAAGTTACCCCTCATTTGAGCATGTGCTAACAATCATTACGTGACGATTCCAAAGGCAAGATTCTCAAAATATATTTTCATTTTTAGAGAAAGATACAAACATTAATGACCCCATGAAAAATAATTCCATCAGTCTAATATGAGAAGTTAAGAATAAAGTTATTTACAAAAAAGAAGTCATTGCCATGTTTAAAAAATTTCAAATGCGTAAAGGTGGATTTAGATACAGTTCTTTTTATATAAAACTGATAATAATGATAAAAAAAAAATCAAACGGAACTTTATTCATAAATTGAATTTTTTAAATTCATTTTGTTAACAAACCTGAGAAATTTGTTTGAGCCATTTATTAAGGTACTTTGTACCATTCTTTTTCTAAAAAATGAGGATTCTATAATAACTTGAACAATTGTTTAATAAATGAACAAATTTTATTTAAATTGTTGTCTTTTAAATATAATATTTTAAAATTGCATAAACATTTTTTGAAAAAGTTGCAAAAAAAAAATTTTTTTTCTAATAATAAAGTAATCTTTTTAAAATAGTTAATAATTTGCAGAGGATTCTATAATAACTTGAATAATTGAACAAGGGTGATGCGTTACTTGTTGAAGTAGAAAATTGTTCTCATGCTCTATACTTTTTCATAATTTTTCATTTTGCATAATCTTTCCATAATTTTTCCATTTTCCATAATCTTTCAGATCATGAATTCTGTATTTGATGTAATAATTTAGTGCAATTTTTGATTTAGCAACAAAATTCCCTTACATTTTAATTGAAACATTCATAAAAACTGCATTTAAAACAATATTTCTGAAAAAAGTTTTGTACTTTAAAAAAATGTTTATATTTTGGTGTGGTTTTGTTAATGTCTTTAAGGTCATTCTGTTTATTAATTTTTATTTTTTCATGCCCTGATCTATTCATAAATTTCTACTTAGAGTTTGCTTTATTGTTTTTTTATTTTATATATTTTTTATTATTGTTTTAAATTTTATATTGCAATCAGTTTTTTAAAAGATTTATTCATTTCCTTTCTTTTTTCTTCTTTAACATTATATTAATGACAATTATAAATATTTATAAATATAAATTTTTTAAGTTAGTAATATTTTTATCAAGTTCTTATCTTTATTTTTAATGGTATTATTTTTTATATGAAAAAGTTTTTTTATTTTATTCTCATGTTGCATTTTTAAAATTATTTTAAGTAACTTATTTGCTCTATGGGCCTTACGGTAGCTTTGGTCCTACATATGATTCTTCATTATCAAATATGAAGAAAGAAGAAAGTGATCTGCTCATGCAAGCTTACGGTACAGAGGAGGGAGTGGAGTATGCAAAAAGGTATGCTTTAAAATTTTCTAATAGTTTTAGGAATGTGGTACAAAAATTGCGTAATAACTTTGTTTTGTAATAAAAATATTTTCTAGCATAAATTGCACAACTTAGCGTTGTTTATATAAAATTTTTTTGTTGTAAAACAATTATTGCCAAAACGAATTTCTGCAACATTTCTGCAACAATTGTTGTACAACATTTCTTCAGCTATTTAAAACCAAGCTTAAATTTAAAATGATCTTTTAGTAAAGAATTTCTACTTCTATATTTAGTCACAGTATTTCTGCTTTTTTCTTAAATTCTTAAATAAAATAAAACTTTATAATGTAGCTGATAAAGTTTATTAACGTGTGCATGTTTTTTATTGTTACACTTATTTTTAAATATGCTAGTTTGCTGGAATTTTGTAAAGGAAATTCATTTTTAATGGAGTATGCAGATCGTCTACTAAATACTGTCACAGATGGAGAGCACACCCGATTAATAAAACAGACTGAGGTGATTATTATTTTATTGTGTTGTTGTGTTTTTTATTTTTTATTTTCTTAGTAGTATTTTATTCTTTATTTTCAGCCTAATTCATTACTTGGTACTGTGGAAACTAAAGGTACAAATTTTTATTATTTTCCTAAAAAATATATTTTATAATCAGGAATAAAAATTTCTAGAAAAGGATATTCAGGTCTTAGTACCCTTATTTTTACCAGGGTTCTTTATTCAATTTTATTAATTTTTCATCATCTTTTTTTTTTGTATAGATGAAGCAAAAAAATTAGACATGGATTCTTTGCTGTCATTAAATGGACTTGGTATTGATGTATCATTTCTCAACAAAAGTAAGCTTTATATTTTTTCAAGAAAATCTTTTGGAAAAATTAGTGTTGTTATCGACTTATACTAAATTGATTAAAAGTTGACTAGTTGAAAAGTCAAAATTGGTTGACTAAGAAAAAACGAATAGTTGATTTAATTGACTATAGACTTCCTACAAATCGACTAATTTTCAATCGATTTTCACTAGACTAAAGTTGATTTAGTCTAGTGAAAATCGATTGAAATTCGATTTAACTTTCCAATGATTTATTTTTGTTTGTTCGTTTAAAAACAAAAGCATGTATTGTTATAACTAGAGATGTCATAGACAGTGGTTTTGCCGAATATTTGGTGACGCTTTCCTATTTTGAAGGTTTTGGCTTGGTTCATTGAAGTGTATATTCTAGGTATACTTGCATTTCAGAGAAAATTTCAAAGGTTGATATACATAGATCTGCACTACAACCTGAACTTACCGTATAATTGACATTCCCATTAAAGTTATATCATCATTTAACTTTAATGGGAATGTCAATTATACGATTGTGATAAAACGATGCGATAAATCCTTCTCAGTGAAAGGTTGCTTGACAACAATGAACCATCACCATCTGTGACTGGTAGCATCGGTGATGATTCAGCTCTACTTCGTAAGAAAAAAAAAATGTAAATGAAAGCGATCAAACTAATCTCTACAAAAAAATGAACACATGAAGATGTGAGAAAGAATAATTCCAATTGCAAATGATATTAGTTTTTACATGAAACCGTTTGCTTAAATTGGACAGCAAACACTTACAAGTGTTGGTCAGCAAACGCAAAACATTATCCTAATAGAACTTGCTAAAATATTTTAATTATTTGCCAGTGGCAGTGTACATAGTGAATGGCTATTTTAGGAAGTATGACATTTCTAATTATAGAATAAAGTTTTATCTAATTCATAGCATATTGGAATTACTTGGGTTCTTTCTAAATTCTTTATACATTTGTTTGCAAATATAATTTTTTTTTCCTACCTTACAAAAAAAATTGTAAAAATTTTTTAATAAAAATTATTTTATGACAATAAAGTAGAAAATAACTTTTCTTTACGCTATAAAGGCATTTTATATATATATATATATATATATATATATATATATATATATATATATATATATATATATATATATATATATATATATATATATATATATATACACACACATATATATATATATATAATATATATATATATATATATATATATATATATATATATATATATATATATATATATATATATATATATATATATATATATATATATATATATATATTATATATATATATTATATATATATATATATATATATATATGTATATATATATGTATATATATATATATATATATATATATATATATATATATATATATATATATATATATATATATATATATATATATATATATTATATATATATATATATATATATATATATATATATATAGAGAGAGAGAGAGAGAGAGAGAGAGAGAGAGAGAGAGAGAGAGATATTTAGATAGATAGGTATATAGATAGATAGGATAGAAATATTTATTTTAAATCATATACGCATTGCATGTATACATACTTAAAATAAATTAATAAATGTGGATTACATTTTACAAAAATCTAAGAAAGCATTTATGATGCTCTGAAAACTTTTTAAGTGTCTAATTCCTTGAACCTTAGTCAAGGCTTACATGTATCAGAAACCTAGCAATCAATCAATAATATCATTGTTTTTGTTTTAGTTGATGTTATGTAATATTTATTGATTGTATCATAAAGCTTTGTGACAACTTAAGTGAAATTTGTGTGAAATGTATCATTAATACATGTAAAAGAAATTGATATCTTGATAAGAAGCCAACTCCCTCTGATTGCTTGCAGGGGGCATTTGAGCTTGAAATGAATCTCACTTCTGCTACAGCATGAGTTCACAGTGGCTGGTGAACTTTAATTCAGATAAATCTCAATTTTTTTCAGCTAATCTTTATCGCAATAATTTAGACCTTCCTATATTTATGAACAGTAATGTACTCGATGAGTCATCTACTCTTCATCTTCTAGGATTAACTTTTGCTTCTGATCTTTCTTGGAAACCTTATATCAAATCTGTTACAAAAATAGCATCTGCTAAAGTTGCATCTCTTTGTCGAGCTCGACACTTTCGTACTCTGGATTCTATTCTCTATCTCTATAAATCTCAAATCTGGCCTTGTATGGAATACTGTTGCCATATCTGAGGCGGATCTTCTAATGATGCCCTTTCTTTAGACAAGGTGTAAAAAAGCATTGTAAGCATAGTTGGACCTGCTCTTGCAGCCAACCTGCAACCTTTGTCACATCGTTGTAATGTTGCTTCTCTTTCTCTTTTATACAAATAATATAATGAATGAGCACTGCTCTAAAGAGGTAGCATCTCTTGTGCTATCTATTAAAATTCATTCTCGTGTTACTCGTCATTCAATTAAGTCTCATCCTTTTTCAGTTACTGTTCCTAAGTGCTCTAAAAACTCTTATTTGTCTAGTTTTTTCCCTCGAACACTTTGGAATTCGCTTCCTTCATCTTGCTTTCCTGAATCATATAATTTGCAATCTTTTAAGTCGTCTGTCAATCGTTATCTTGTTCTACAATCTTTATCTTTTCTCTTCCAGTAACTTCCAATTAGTGGTTGCTTGCAGCCTTGTTGGAAGCGAAGATGTTGAAAAAAAAAAAAAGTGTTTTAAAAATTTTTAAAATAAATTATAATAATACTTCTTCTGCTGTGTTTAAATGTAAATTTTCAGTTTAAAATGTAACAAATATGATTTGAATGATTGAGACAAAAAATGGTTTGACTGATTGAGACATACTGGTTGTAAAACCATATAGTTTTAATTTTTTTTTTTTTTAAATAGTAAACATGATAGCACAGATAAAATTTACTTATGTACTTTTATGTTGCATTGTCTATGATGTAACTATTCAAAAATCAATCAATTATTTAAATATATATGCTCTAAAGATAAACATAAATCAGTGCTAAAGGTTGACTTGAAATAATATATAATTTCTAAGTTTACATTAATGCAAATTAAACTGCACACCTTTAACAAATGTGTAACATGTTTTGCAGAAAAATACTTTCTCTAAATGTATATTCTATAAAAAGCAAACAATTTCTTATATATAAAGTTAAGTTATGGTTAAAAATAAACTCCATAATCTGAAATCAGCACCTTAAAATTAGTCGAAATTTCTTAAATTTTCAAATGCTAAATGATTCAGTAAAAGAAATTTTGTTGTACTTTTTTTAAAACAATTTATAAATGAAGCAACAAACTATTGATTTTAATTTCCACAATTATTGATCAATCAGATCAGAACTGCTACACATAGAAAAAAAAGATAAGCTTGTATAAATTTTTCTCATACACAAATAGTAATTAATTGTTGCATTTTTATTTTTTATATTTGAATTTAAAGTGTTTTTGTTGTCATTTGTATTGGTTTCATCAGATTAAATATATCAATATATTCATTATCAGTTTAATATTTATTAAATTAATTTATCAAGCAATTAAGTGCATTCTTGCAAAACAGCCTAATCCTTTTAATGTACCCATCATTTTCTTAAAAACAAAACCAGATGAAAAAAATGGAGCTGGGGTATAAATCCTGATTATCTACCTTATTTACCTGATTATATTGGCAGGAGATTATTGTTAAAATGAAATTAGAAAGGAGATTATTTTTTATTTTGATTTTGATTTTGTCAGGCAGAATTATTTGCAAAGAGCAAATAACTCATCTAATTCATATCCTTAATCTAATGACCATACTCTTCCTGTAATCAAGTTGCCATTCATGAACAACACTTTCTTTCATTTCCAGTAACTTCTAGGTTTCCACAAAGTTCTATCATTTGTTTTGTGTTGTTTCTCATCTATGTTAATTATCTTTAAGATAATCATTCTTCTATAGTGACTCTGGTGACATGGCTATATATCCCATTCTTTACAAAAAGTCAACACCTTTTGATTGCTTTAAACAAGCAGCTGATCTTGAATGTGATATTTTTTTTGTGACAGCTTGGTGCTTGTAGTGTCAGGTAAATTTTAACCCAAGAAAAACTCAGTTGTTTACTGGTAATAATTGTCCAAGCTGCTTCCGAGCACAACAATTTCTGATATTCATTGTCACTATTGAAATTTTTTGGGCTGCATTTTCTTTAAAAATCATTTTTGTGTTGTAAGGAAAACATATGCTGCAATTATAATCTTTTATGTTCCAATTTTACTGTCTACTGAATAAAATGTGAAAGGTGTAGGTGAGTAAAATATGGAAGGCATAGGAAGGTGGCATAGGTGAAGGTGACTAAATTATGGAAAGTGTACAAAGGTGGCGTAGGTGGAGGTGAGTAAAATATGGAATAGTGTATGTAATGTATGTGTAATCTAAAAATGAGGTGGATGGTTTTGTATAAAATTCAACAAAATATTTACAATATAACACTTTTTGACAAAACCACTGGTAATACTGCTTTAATAACTGTAAAAAATTAAATCTTGTTTAATATACTATCATGTTTGTTTTCATAAAAAAAAAAAAAAAAAATTCATGATACTATCAATTATGTTTTAATATTTATAATTAATATGTAGTATTAATTTATAAACAACCCAAAAGTGTTACATTTAAATTATTCATATAAATTATCTGTCTAAAATAATGAATCATTTTCTTGACTAATCCCTATTCAAAGTTGAATATTTTAATGCAGTTTAAAAAAATACTTTTAAACTCTTTTTTTAGTACCTATCAGATTTAAATATCTAGTATCCTTTTTTGTCTTTAAACTACGGATTTCTATCTATAGTGGATACAAAAGAATACATTCGGTTAGAAAACCCTTCATGTTCTGTTAAACACTTTTGATCTGAAAACAGATTTTTTGTGTGATGTTTTAATGCTAAAGATTTATATAGTTTTATTAAGCAGAACAACAGCAATAATTTATAAACTTAAAGGTTGATATGATATATAAAAATGATATTAAATAGTATTTGTAAGAAAAATGTTCTGATATTTTTTTACTTTAATACAACACAGTTTTTTTTACATGTTTTTATTGCTAAACTAATTGAAGTTTTTTACAACTTAATGTCATTCCTGATATTATTCTGTTTTGAAAATTAAGACAGAGGATTTTTAGTGTGATACTATTACTAGGAAGATGACCATCTAAGGTTTACTGGCTCCTTCTCTTACCCACAAATAATATTAGGGTTTTATATCTAAGTTTTTCTTTTTCTAGGTAAGTTGTTTTTATTACAGCTAAGTAACCTCGTCTGCTACATATGAAAATTTACTAGGTTGTACAGGATTACATGTTACCAGTGATTGTAGTGTGACCAGTGACTGTATTGTGACTTTGAACCTAAAACATGTTTTAATATATAAATCTTAATATACTTAGAATTCTTATAAAATATATATAGAATTCTTAATCATAAATAATATTATTTTTTTAGTTACTTCTGAGAAAAGTAATTCAGTAGAAAAAAGTATTTTGGCGAAAAATTCTTTACAAAAAAGTGATCAAAAGAGTAATATGTATGCTTTTAATTTATGAAATTAAGTTAAAAAATTAATCTTGATTTTGATGATTATTTTTAAAGTCTTAATCTTTTCATTAGGAGTTTTATTATTTTTTTATTACTATAAATTATGTTATATATATATATATATATATATATATATATATATATATATATATATATATATATATATATATATATATATATATATATATATATATATATATATATATATATATATATATATATATATATATATATATATATATATATATATATATATATATATATATATATATATATATATATATATATATATATATATATATATATATATATATATATATATATATATTAGAGATGTGCCAGAACCAGTTTATGCTAAGTCCCCGATTCCGTGTACCCGGCAGAAAATATGGAGTCTAAAAGTACCTGGCACTGGGTGATTTTTGTAATAATATTTTATTTTATATAGGGCACCTCAACAGTTGCTCAGCAACAATGTTGAGCTTCTTCAAAATTTAAATAAAGCTCAAAATGAAAGATTTTCAGCAAGAACTCTTCAAAATGTGGATGATAATGAACAAAGTATTGGTTAGTTTTTTTTGTTCTTATTAATATTTTATTATTTTACTTAAAACATTAGAGATCTACTTATTACGTTAATTCTTTAAAAAATCTAAAAGGTTTAATTAATGCTTTTGAAAATATGAAAGATTTAGTTATCGTTTTTTTTACACAGCAACCTCATTGGTTGACATCTGAAAGTTGTAAATATTGTTTTCTCACACAACAACCTGATTGGTTGACAATCTGAAAGATTTAATTATTGTTTTCTTACACAGCGAACTCATTGGTTGACAATTTGAAAGATTTAGTTGGAAGAGTAAGTTTCCTTAATTTTAATCTAACAATATCAAAGTTTAAATCAAAGTATACAGTTATATATATATATATATATATATATATATATATATATATATATATATATATATATATATATATATATATATATATATATATATATATATATATATATATATATATATATATATATATATATATATATATATATGTTTAAAATCTATATTATTTTTTTAAATGCCTTGATATTGATTGCATAATTGTATATATTAAAGTCTTTTAACTAAAATATAATATACAAATATATGCTTTTTTTGTACAGGTTGCGCCAAAAGATGTAGTAGCTTCTCAAGGCATACATAAAGCTATTGGCAACACTGCATACCCTTTAACTAGTAAAAAAAAAAAGATTTTTTTTGCATGAAAATGTTTTTTGTTGAAACACTTTTCATTGACTTTTTGTGCATTCAAATCTATACAATGGAAATTGTGTTGTTGAATATATATTTTATTGTTATTTTTTAGGTGAAATGGACAACGAAGCTGCCTCTGCAATAAGTGCAATTGAAGATTTAACATAAACCTTTTATTATGTGAAATATATTTTTAAATCTCAATGAGTTGTTATTAAGAGTTTTGATTGTTTTTATTTATTTTCACTTTGTTATGATGTCAATATATTTAATTATTTATTTGCAATTTGAAACAAAAATTTAAATTAATAATTAAAAGGGTAGTTTAAATTTAAACAAATTTAATTTCAAGTGAAAACAAGACAATCTCATTTATTAAGATTCTTTGCAAAATTGTAGCAATTTTATGTAAGTGTGTGTGTGTGTGTGTGCGTGTGTGTGTGCATGTGGGTTTATACACATAGGAATCACTATATAAAAAGTTTATTATTTTAGATTTTTACAGCATAAAATGTTGATGTATGTGCTAAAGCCCTGTTGATGTATGTGCTAAAGCCCTCATAGTATGAATCTAAAACAGTGAGAGTTCAGATACCTCCCTAAATCAGTATAGGATCAGATATTTACATACATACATACATACATACATACATACATACATACATACATACATACATACATACATACATACATACATACATACATACATACATACATACATATATACCTACATACATACATACATACATACATACATACATACATACATACATACATACATACATACATACATACATACATACATACATACAAACATACATACATAAACACATACATATGGAATCAACTATGCATGTTAGGTTACTGATGAAATTGTACTATTAAACTGATATTGTTATTTGTCTCTATTAAAATCTATCTATAAAGTGTCAGTTCTTGATAAAACAAAAAAGAACAGTATATGATTATATGATTTATATGATTTCATTCACGACCTAAGTCAGCTATGGAGGATATATATGTGTGCTTATGTATGTATATGTATATTAATTTATATGTTTATGTATGTATGTATATAGATACATTCATATGTGTGTTCATGTATGTATTTATATATTACATTTTTTTATTATTGTTTTTTTAAACAGAAAAGTGCAAATTTGTATTATAAAGCAAATGCATGGAGAATTTTGTGTTATATGATGAAATAGGAAAAGGAAATCAAAGGGTTGTTTACAAAGGTCGTCGCAAAGGAACTATTAAATATGTTGCTATACATTGTATTGAAAAATCCAAGCGTAATCAATTGCAAAACAGTGTTCGCATATCACACCAACTAAATCACCCCAATATTGTTCATTTTTATGAGTGGTATGAGACATCAAATCATTTTTGGTTAGTTGTTGAACTTTGTACTGGTGGTTCACTTCAAACTGTCCTTCAACAAGACATCGTTTTACCTGAAAAAACTATCAAAAGTTTTGGTAAAGATTTAGTAAGTGGTTTGTTATACCTTCATTCTTTGGATATAGTGTACTGTGACTTGTCCCCTCAAAAAATTATTTTAGACAGTAATGGAACGCTTAAGTATAGTAACTTTTCATTGTCTTGTTTGCGAGGTGAAGATTTTGATGAAACTATCAAAATGAGTTCAGTTTCATATAAAGCACCTGAGGTAATTGATGGTCATTTGGTATCTTTAGAAGCTGATTTGTGGTCACTTGGATGTTTGTTGTACCAAATGTTTACTGGAAACACACCATTTCATGCTTCTTCATATGAGAAAATTTGTGAAAAAATAAGAAGTCAAACCGTTGTTTATCCAATACAAAGTAACAATTTTATTTTTGTTTCTTTCTGTCTTTTTTTTTTTTTTTATATGTTTTTTGTTTTTAGGTTATTGCATGACTTATTTAAATTTTTTTATGGTACTAGTTTTTATATCCAGTTAAATGCAGTTTGTTTCAAGCAAAACATTATTGCTTTTAGATTTAAATGGAGGCTCCATAAAGGCTACTGAAAACTTGTACACACTTATTGCAGGGTTGCTTCAGAAAGATCCCACTAAAAGAATTGACTGGTTTGAATTATGTTTGCACCCTTTTTGGGAAGGTGAGCTTAGTCATCTGACAGATATAGTTGAACATTTAAAAACTTCACAACAATTACAAGATTCTTTATGCAATGATTCATCTCAATTGGAAACTTTAAATGCAAATTTAGATCTATCTCAGAGCTGCATTGAAAATGATTCTCTTCTAAGTCACAAAAGTTTTCATCAGGATTTTGATGCTTTAGGTAATGTCCTGGATATCCCACCTGAAGAAAAGTTAAATTTACTTTCTTTAGAGCCAGATAACAATTTTAATATTGCTAAAGGAACATATTTACTTTCAAAAAATGACGATGAGTTAGATGAGTTAAATGCTGCTTCAGATAATATAAATACAAATGATTTAGATCAAATAAATACACAAAATATTCTGGAGAGTTCTATGGAGAATTCTAAAGTTGTTATTGACTTACTTAAAAGCAATTCTACAACCTTAAAACAAAGCGACGGTTTTATTGGTCTTAACTTAAATGTCATTGATCACCTTTATCACTCAAGTGATCTTACAGTGACTCCTATTGCAGAAAATTCTAAGCTTTTAAAGCTATCACTTCTTAAATGGGATGTAAGTAGTCTGGGTTTTAATACTGTGAGTTTGCAAGTTTTACAAGACAGCAGCAAAGACTATTTAAAGCAATACCTTAATGTTGTTTTTGATACATTTTTAAAATTTCATAAGTCCCAAGAAAAAGTTGGTATACGCTCTAAGTTGAATTTACTTGCATATCTAATTGCAATAGCTAAGGTAAAAGAGATCTCAAATTTGATTTTAGAAGAACATTATCAACAGTATTTACTCAAGGAACTAAAGCACTCTCAAAACATTGAAGTCAAGATACGTATTGGTATAATTTTTTAATATAAATTATTATTTTGAACACATATACTTGGACAAATTATTATTGTTTTTTTTTGTTTTTTTAATAATCATATGTAAACACACATGTAACTGTGATATTTTGTTTTTTTCAGAATATATAAACATATACATAGTAATATCTGTAAAATTTTGTCTGAGCATATACAAACCTGTATACTTTTTACAGTGATACTTCATAACTAAGCTTTTAGAATGAAATTGTCACGAAAAGTTATAATATTTGAGTTTATGCTATATCTTACTAACTTATGCTTTACACTTTTTACAGAAAGTGGAAAATAATTTTGGATTTGACTTGAAGTTAATAAAAGTTGCATACAATTAATAATTAGTAATGAAAATTTAAAAATAGTATATATAGTATTTTATATTTTAAATTTCTAATTCAACTAGCAAGTAAACTAGCAAAAAAGAATTTTAAATTCATATTTTTCCAATATTTTGAATATTTTAAGAAACTTTTTAAGAAGTCTTACAAAAACATAAATATTTTAAAAAATGAAAGTTTGAAATATGTAATGTTATACATTATAAAAAAACTTGAACAAAAAATTTTATATTGGTGGAAAGAGAAGCAATTTTTTTTAGGGGTTCTTAGAAATATTTTTGTACAAATATAGAGGTTTATGACAAAGTCTAATGTAAAAACTATATATTAAAGAAATAGAGCCTAATATATTAGCAATCAGAATTCCAAAATTTTTTTGTTGATAATGTTATTGGTTATGGCCTTGCAGATGGTTCATTGTTTTGGGGTATATTTACAATGTATAGAATTTTTAGATAACTGTTTCTAATTGGCTAATTATTATGTAATAATTAGCAAAAAAAAACAACACTTAAACTCTTAAGTTTGTTATGAAAATACAGTGGCAAGAAGTGAATGAAATCCACTGTGAATAAGTTAAAAATGTTTTTCAAGTCCAAGATTTAATTATTTTCCTAAATTTTTATCCTAAAATATTTATCCTAAATTATCGTCCTAAAATTGTTTTAAGGCTTTTAAATTACTGTGCCTCAAGACATTTAATATATATATATATATATATATATATATATATATATATATATATATATATATATATATATATATATATATATATATATATATATATATATATATATATATATATATATATATATATATATATATATATATATATATATATATTATATATATATATATATATATATATATATATATATATACTTTAAAAAGATCTTAAAAAAATTTTCCTTCTAAATAAATTTGAACTTTTCTAAAATAAATAAAATTATTTTCTTTATTTATCAACCTTGGTTTCATTGATTAAAGTTTTGTATAGATAATACTAATAAAAGATAATAACAAAAATATTTTTATCTATAACACTAAAAAATGCTAAATAATAAATCGTTCACATTGGTTTTGATTGGCCTGATTTTGAAGTAGTTACCAATTAGTTTTGAATGAAAACTAGTTGTTAATTACTTCAAAAATCAGAACAAAAAAATGTGAAGTTTTAATATGGACATTGTTTAACATGCATAGATAAATATTTCATATATTGTGTATTATTTATGCATGTAATTGAAAAAAAAAGTATTTAATGGTGATAATGGTGATTCATATTAAAAATATTTAGTTTTTATTTTAAGTGCAAAATATGGAAAATAAGAATTTTTTTTTGTTATGATTTACAAGACTTTAAACTCATTATTAGTATTATAGAAAAATTTGTTAAATATTTGTTTTAGGGCGTTTATTAGGAGTGATTGGCAGTTGTTCAAGTTACATTTCTCCCTCGTTTAATATGTCTGAAATATTTAATATATCTGCAGATCAAATAAAACAAAATTTTCGTTTATCTCACATCAAGCAATCATTTCTACCTGTTATTGGAGAGTTTCTTTTCTTTGCTGCTACTCAAGAAGAAACTGAGAACAAAGTTCTTCACCAATGGGAGCCTTCTGGTAGATTAATATCTATTGTTTTTATATATAGTTCGACTTTTTATGTTTTATTAATTTGGCTTCTAATTACTAACTTTTTGTTTAGGTGCTGTATTTACCATAATAAATAAGTGTTTACAACAATCTGATGACCATGTTGCTAGGCATATTGCAGCAAAAATTATAGAGAATGTGACAACCACAACTGGTCGGTATTGTAAAAAGTTTTTGACAAATGAAGTTGGCTTGGTAATAAAATGTTATTTTCAAATTTGTATAAAAAATACTGTTTTTATCCTCTATTAAATTTCTTTGCATCCATTTTTATTTTATTAGGGTTTGTGGAATCTTTATTCTCATGCTACAACAGATATCGAAAAAGCTACTGCAGCTTCAGCGTTGGCTCATCTTTCTATGCACTCTCCTACCATTATGCAGCATGTATCTGATAGAGCTGGTTTTAATGTCTTCCAGGAAGCTCTTTTTACTGGGGTTTTGCAAAGTCAGATCTCATTTGTCACAATATTTGTAACTTTGTTATCAAGTTCAATTCACTTTAAACGCATTATGCAAGAAGATGGTTTTTTAAGAAGAATAATCCAAAATCTGGATTCGCCTTCTTTTATTTTACAAGCAAAAATTTATATTTTACTCTGTGAAATGATTTCTCGTTCTCACGAAACACTTCTGAATTCGTGTGAATTAAAGTTGATAGGACATTTAGAAAAGAATGCTAGAAAAGCAGCAACAAGTGAACATAATGAAACATCTGAGTATGCGCATAAATGTTTGGGTGTATTAGCTAACACAATAGTCACCATATTGCCAAGTGTATTTGAAGGTTTATTGTAAAAATGTTCTCTTTAGTAAATATGATAGTATTTAAAATCTTTATTACCTAAATGTTTTATCTGTCAAGTAATTTTTCTTCTTTAGGTATACTACACATTTTAGAAGTTGTAACTGGTCGTCATCATCCTAACCCAGCTCAAACCAAGCAGCTTAGGAGTCATTTACCTTTAATGACCATTGCTCTGCACCTTGTCACCAGTTCACTGTTTCGTAAAAAAATCATTAAATCTATAGATTTTATTCAATATATTGGGAAGATTTTACAAGTATTCTAAAGATTTTTAATTTTGATTAACAAATTTTTTTTTTTTTTGTCAAATTTTTCAGATTTTTGTTTTGTTTTCTTTGTTAGATGGTTAACAAAATTGGTATTGGAGAAATAAACCTTTCAGGAGCCAGCATAGTTACTCTAGCTGAAAACTTAACATCTGATGTGTTTTCGGTAGTTGAAGCAATTGGACAGCATCCACTTATTCTGTTAGAAAACATTTCTGACATAGTCAATCATATTCTTCCTATGTTAATATTGTTTAGAAAAAGTGACGATGGGAATTTACGAATGTTGTCTTGCAGATTATTTACAAACATAGCTTCCATATATCTTGAAAAGGAAGACGATGCAACACCCAGACAAACAAATGTAGATATTCTAATAAAGGTATATGCATATTTTATAATGTATTTCATAGATAAGTATACAAAAATTCAGAAGTATCTCTTGAAAGCCCAAATTATCATGTTCTTGAAAGCCCAAATTATTATGTTTTCTATGTTGACTTTTTATAAGACTGCACTTTGATGGAATTGCTACAAATCATTGTGAACAACTGAGTTTCCATAAGTCATAGTCATAATTTTTGCAATAATATCACTTACTGAAGGGATAATAAAGGCTGTCTATGTTTTTGTTTTTGCTATTTTCAGGTTGATAAAAAAAAAAAATCAAAAAAATGTTAATTTTGTCAACAAGTAATGTTGACAAAATTAACATTTTTTTGATTTTTTTTTATCAATGACCCACAGAACTCTTAAGTTAAAATAAGAAAATGGATCAAAAATGTCTAAAAAATTTTAATTTTGGGCATCAAATATTTTATATATATATATATATATTATATATATATATATATATATATATATATATATATATATATATATATATATATATATATATATATATATATATATATATATATATATATATATATATATATATATATATATATATATATATATATATATATATATATATATAAATATATATATATATATATGAAATAATATATATAATACAAAAAAATCTAATTGCAAAAAACGTTTTTTGACCACAACCCCCCCCCCCTCCTCCTTACTCCTCATGGGAGGGAGGAGTTTGCGTTAGTATAAAATTGTATCTTTTGTACATTAGTTCGTAGTTCTTATTTTTTTAACATATTATCTCTCTTATTTAAATATTATCTTTTAATTTTTTTGTTTGGCGGAGCTTAAAATAGCGTTAAGTTACTGTTATAATGTACAGCTTAAGTTATAATTCAAAGTTTAAGTTGCAGTATTGTGTATGCATTATGTAGTGTAATGAGCAATTATTTTACTAAACATAGTTTTTAGAAAATTGAAAGTATAAAAGTAAGAGTAAAAACATTACAACCATTACAAACCACTTTAATTAGTCATAGAAAACTATTTAATAGGTTTATGCGACGATAAAACAAGTGTTATTTTAAAGAGTTTTTAATTGTTATTGTAAAAAGCTTTAAAACAACAATAAAACAAACTGCAAAGTTGTTTTAACAATATAAAGAGTTTGTGTTAATGTAAAACAACTTTGTGATTCTGTATTGTTGCTGTTTTATACAGCTTGTAACCTTAATTACATAAAACGCGTTTAAAATAAAACTAAGTAATATAAATAGAATTGTTTTAATTAATAAATTAAAACATTATTGTCATAAACCTTTAAACTTCATATTTACAACAAAAACATGCCTATAGTCCATATGAGTCTATAATCTATAAAATATGTTAAATTTATTGTTTCTTGATCTAATGTAGGGTGAATTCATCATGGAGCAAATTTGTCACTTATGTGACTCAGCTTTAATATAATAATGCATAAAAACTAAAAAATCTTTTTACAAGATTTTTCGAATCTTTTTAGAATATTATAAAATAAAGGTTTTTATATTTTCCTTTGCTTATTCTTCAAATACTGCGAGTTAAAAAAAAAATTTCTGCTTTAATGCTTATCTTCAAAAAATAATCAAAATATGCAATGTTATGACAACAAAGTATGTTTATTTTGGTAGATCTATGTCAGTATTTTTAAAATAACAATTCAAGTTATTATGTTTTTTTTTTTTGGAATCGTCACGTAATGATTATTAGCGCATGCTCAAATGAGGGGCAACTTTCTTGTTAAAGAAAAGATAATACTTAAGATAAATTAGGCTCTTTGATCACGCTAATTTTTAATCTACGGAGTGCCGTTTAAAAGACAATGAAACACACAAAATGCACTTCAAAGCTTTAGATTTTATCTATTAGAGATAGGTATTTCAGAATGTATTATTTTACAGTTAGCTTTTAAAACTTTTTGAACTTTTAATTAATTTTTAATCTACGGAGTGCCATTTAAAAGACAATGAAACACACAAAATGCACTTCAAAGCTTTAGATTTTATCTATTAGAGATAGGCTTTTCAGAATATATTAGTTTACAGTTAGCTTTTAAAACTTTTTGAACTTTTAATTATAAATGCAACTCTGATGTGAAACATGTAAACAAGCTTATTATAATATATAGTCTAAAATATATATAAATATATATATATATATATATATATATATATATATATATATATATATATATATATACATATATATATATATATATATAGTAAATAATAAGTATATAAAATTTGATTTATAATTGTGATGAAACCGGCCATTTATCTGTGCCAAGTGGTTCTGTGTAAAGGGTTCTTGTGAGGTACAAAAGTTAACTATTAGTAGACGTTGCACACAAACAACATACCTGGCTACCATTGCTGGGTAAAATACTTAATAAAAGTACTTAAAATACAAACACAAATACTGGAACAAAAAAAGTATTTTAAATAAAAATACAAATACAAATACTTCAAAAGTGTTTAAACTGAAAACACTTTTAAAAAAGTATTTTAAATACTAAATACAAAATACTTTACTACTTTTAAAAATTGCAATTAAAAAATAAGCCATTTTCAAAATTTATTTTTATGCACTCTCATTGTTCAAAAGTAGTTATTAGTCATTTATACTAAATTTATATTTAAATATCATTCATTCAGTCATTCAAATTCGTTTTTAGCAGCAGCAGTCGTTCAAACATTGTACCACTTAGACAATTACTCCTAGGTGTTTGTATTTGTTCCGCAGTGATAACTAATCGTTCAATTGGAGCCGACGGTGGTACAGTGGTATTGAGTTTGACAAACGGTGACCGAATAGTCTTATACGCATTCAAATTTGTATCTTTATTATTCAGATACAACATGCATTCTTGCTGAGTATCATCATTATGTACAACAAAATTTTCAGTTGTGCTGTCAGTGTTCTCATTGAAATTGGTCGCTGTCAACGGTTCACAGGCAGCTAGTATGGCATTTTTAAATATTTATCTGCAAATAGCTTGTTTACTTATTGGCATCCACTGTAACTTGAACAGTGGGTGCGAAACTGCTGCAACAATTCTGTATGAATTACTCACATCAAATCTCAGCTCCTTTTCAAAACGAATTTTCATTCTTGCTAACAATGCAGCAGCAAGTATATTTTAACTTAACACCATATTTTAACTGGCAACTTTGAAACGCTTCCAATTTCACCTGTACGCTGTGCAAATGTGAAAGGCCATAATACACATTATTCCCTTGCAAAGTATCCGATGTTGTAGCAACAGGTTTCATGAAAAACGCATGTTTTTGCAGGCATTTTAATTCTTGCTTTTTAAACTTTGTCACATAATTCTAGTAATCGCTTGATAGCATTTTATTGAGAATTCCAACGTTTTGCCACGGGGCAGAGTATTGCTTTGTTTGACACAGCATTTGATGCTTTACTAATTCGTTGAGTTGCATTCCATATTGAAGTGCACTTTGCCAGTTCTGCACTGTAGGTACGCTTACATACTGTCTGTATCACATGCCTTCTTAGCATCATTCATTTCCAATAAATTCAGTCAATGGCTGCTACGTGTTTTATAAGGTGGCAAAGAAATACTCTAGGCTATGGACTCATCATCATCATCATCATCATCATCATCATCATCATCATCATCATCATCATCATCATCATCATCATCATCGTCGTCATCATCATCATCATCATCATCATCATCATTATGTTCTGGCGAAACTGAAAAGAATCCAATATTAATTAATATTAATTACATTCTTCAATGTCCTCTTGCTCTTCTTGTGATGTCACAATTACATTAGTTGCTGCTGCACTTGTAGTTAACTCTAAATGCTTTTTCAAAATTTGACGCATAGTCGATAACAGTTGATTTTTTCTACGTTAAGGTCATATTGACAATGAATTTTAGAAATCCTTGCAGCAATTGTATCATATTTGTGACTACCATAAAATTGATGGCAAGTAAGGGATACAGATGCTTGTGAAATCAAACTAGAATCATCTAGTGGCATTTCAATATAATGCGCAGTCACGCAAAGAAAACTTTTTCTATTGACTGATCAGATATCAGCAGTAGTGCAAACAAATTATGGTTTTTTCAGTTTGCTTCATATTTTTTTATGCACCCTTGAAAGCTTTGAACTAAAACGTGCCTTATAATCTTCACATTACGTACAACTAATAAGCATAATGCTGATATTTTGTTACTTTTTTTTTTATCTGGCTACGATTTTGAAAAAGGTACCATCTACAATGGCTGGTAAAGTTTCATTATTTTTATCAGTCATTTCGTTTTTGCGATTCACGGCAGCCATCTTTAAATTAAAATTGTTGATTCCCGCAAAATAACTTTATAATTACCCTAACGGAACCAAGGTAGATAAACCATGGTATAAAATAAGAAATAATTCAAAATAAATAGTGGCAAAGTGACACTATGACATAACAGTTAGTTAAGTTGTTTGTGTGCGATGTTGTAAATGTTTTAAGCGGTATTTGAATCAGGTATTTTCAATTAGTACAAAATACAAAATACTAATCAAAAGTATTTTAAGTACAAATACTAAATACTTTCAACAAAAGTATTTAAAATTCAAATACAAATACGAAGAAAGTATTTAAAATCCCAGCACTGCTGGCCATATCAAAGCAGTATCTATTTTACTACCATTTTTCATATTTAACAAAGATTCCAGATGCATCTAAACTTCATTTCACTTCACTTCAAAGTACATTACAAAAAGATAGTAAAAGTGGATATATTGATCAAAAGATCTTTATTCACTTTTTACATAATTTTAATGAGTTTCATACAAAGTGGATGGAAAAAAGTATTGTTTTTTTTTTTGATGATTTTTTTTGAAGCAATTGAATTAGAAATAGAGATGGATACTGAAATAATATGCATTCTGCCTCATAGTACACATTGCCTTCAACCACTTGATCACATGTTAATAAAGTAGTTAAACATATGTGGCCTTG